GTTATTTTTCTTGAAATTTAAAAAAAAATAACACCTATTGACATAATCAATCTCCTTAGGGAAAATTCAGTTGATCTATGTAATTTAGTAAATATCCCAATTGATGAAATTTCTATTTAGAAAGCTGACAGCATTACAAACTAAATTACCTTTAGCAAGTACAACAATCATTCATAGTTCTTTCAGAGTTATCCAGCTACGGAATTCCTCATTAATCACATGTTATTTTCCAAGTATTTTTGTGCTTTGTTATCATTGAAATAGTTGTGAAATTGTAGACAATTCTTTTACTACATTTAATTGTTAATTAATCATTACTTTAATAATACACCGGAATGTCACTGCTCATTATTTCAAATGAAAATTCTATTTAAGATGGGTCTATCTGAGGTTCCTACCATGTGAGTTCAATTACTATTGTGCCAAAAGGCAACACTAACACCACCTCTAATGCAGTTTTACAGCCTAGTCCCTAATGACAGCATTATACCAAGGCCCTGACATATTTCTGTTTCTAGTTCTTAAGTGTAAATTTTATTCTGAATGTTTTTATGGCTTATTATGTATTTACTTCATCAGTTACTGAACTAAGAATGATTATCATTGTTTGAATAAGGTTGTGATTTGAGAAGGGTTGAATAACCAAACTAGACTATTTTATTGGGCCCTAAATATTCAGTAGATAGCTATTTCTGTTCAAGTTGATGACCATATGGCACAAGAAGGAAGTGATGTTGGATATGTTAGAATTGAAATGAGTAAAAATGCATAACCATTTGTTTAATAATTATCTTTATAGAGTGCTAGTTTGATGACTTTTCTAACTGAATTTTTGGAAGAGTTCAGAAATGTTTGTATTAGTCATGGATCTCTCATAACTGATTTTCTGATGCATTTAAACATAAATGGAACACTAAATGTCTATTACCGAGGCAAACTGTGGATAAAACCTAATGAAAAAATATAAGCCTGTAATTCCTTTTCTTTTTCTCTATCATCTCTCCCACTATCAGCATCACCCTCGTTTTTTGGTCAGTATTTGATAGTTTGCGGTTGTGGTTCCCACTGTGGAAAAGTAGTCAAACATTGAGGGCTGGTGAGACATGGATCAGCTTAGGTGTAAAGATGCTTGCCAGCAAGCCTGATGACCTGAGTTTGATCCCCAGGACTCACCTAGTGGAAGAAGAAAAGTAACCCCTGCATGTTATCCTCTGACTTCCACATGTGTAAGCTTCATAGGTTTACCATGGGACAGGAGTGCCCACACACATACACTAGCACAGAATAAATAGCTAAAACAAACAAACTTAAAAGAGCTTCAAGAAGATATTTATCGTAGGTTGATTTAGATGGATGTGGTGGTACAACAATAGTCCAGCCTCCTGTGGAGGCTGAATTGAGATATCACTTCAGTTCAGCAGTTCAAGAACAGTTTGGGAAAAAATGAGCTCTTGTCTCAAAAAAAAAAAAAATCAACAAAAACTAAAGTAGATTGTTTTAAGAATTTACGTTCACAAGTCCCATGCAAACGCAAGCAGACAGAAACCCACCACAGAACTGGGGTTGGAGAAATGGACAACAGACCCCAATCTTAGCTGAAGAAATATTGGCAACTGATTACTGCTAGTTGAGGAAGAGCTGATCTTCCTAAAGCAAGGAACTCTAGATAAGCTGACTAGACCTCAGTAAGATGAACTTGTACTAAGGAACATCTGGGAACACTGACCTGACACACTAGGCCTTAACACAAATAACAGAATGTTAAAAAAAAAAAAAAGTTTAGGTTCTTTTTACATCATGTTAATTTCAATAAAGTTTTCATTACAAAGCAATAGTTTTGGGACTGGAGAAGTTGCTTAGCAATTAAGAGCACTGACTGTTCTTTCAGAAGGCCCAGGTTCAAGTCCCAGCACCCACATGGCAGCCAACAACCATCCATAACTCCAGTTCCCCCTGCCGGCATCCATGATCATTTCACTACACTGGTGCACTTATATATACATTCAGGCATAATATTCATGCACATGAAATAAAATTTTAAGAAAGCAGTGATTTTAATGGCAAAGGATGGACCCACACCCAAAGGCATTTAGGGAAGACACATAAGAGTTGATGGACCATTAAAAAAAGAAAAATAATAATAGAGTACACAAAGTCATGGAGAGTAGTAGGGTGGGGGTAGAGATGGGGGAAAGGGGTCTAAATAAGATCAAAATAAATTGTATGAAATTCGCACAGAACCAATAAAATATTACAAATGAAATAATTTTATATTCTATTTTCACAAATGAATGTTATCCATCTATAAGTTCTATATATGACAAAACTTTATATAAAATAACATGTTAAAAAAAACAACCTGTAGAATAGATCAAACTGGGATTATTTTTATTGTACATTTTAGTGCTTCATATATGATCAAATTACATTTACTCTATATATTAAGGAATTTCTTCTTTCATATTCAGTTGTAATTTTAGTGGCATCAAAGGAGTCAAAGAGACATAAGAAGTACAGGTCATTATATATACATTCACCTTAAATATGAAAACTACAATCAGATATAACTTCACACACTTGGGTGTGACTATAATCAATGAAATATATAAAATGGGTTGGTGCAGATGTGGAGAAATAAAAACCATCAAGCATTCTGAAATGGTACCAGTGCTTTGAAAAACAGTCCTATCCATCCTTAGTTAAATGTTCCATGGTTATATCACCCTGGAAATCTACCCCCGAGGATATACCCATGAGAAACACATATACATGTAGAAGAATTATATTAGCAATATCTCCTAGAAGGCTTTTAAAAAATATTTTTAAAATTCTTTTCTGTTTGATTTCCTTTGGTTTTGTTTTTGTTTTTTATTTTGCTTTTTGCTTTGCTGCTTTTGTTTTGGGAGTTTATTTTTTTGTTTGTTTGTTTCTTGAGACAGGTTGTTGCTACGTTGCCCATCCTGGCCTTGAACTTGTGGTCATCCTGTCTCCATTTCCTTAGTGCAGGGATTGTAAGAATTCAACATAACAATCAACTCCAACTAGATTTTTTAATTTATTGCTAGAAAATTAATACAAAATGTTGTATCCAACTTTTGTGTTAAAATAATACATGTGCACTGTCCGACTTAACATCAACTTGACATAGCCTAGAGTCATTTGAGAAAAAAGCTTCGACTGAGGACTTTCGTAAATCAAATTGGTCTGTGGGCATGTCTCTGGGGGATTGTCTTCATTATTAATTGATGCAGAATGGCCCAGGCTACTGTAGGCAACAACATCTCTAGGCCAGTGGTACTGGGTTGTATAATGAAGCTAGCTGAGCATGAGCCACAGAGCAAGCCAGAAAGTGAACCAGACAGAATTGTTTCTACATAGTTTCTGCTTCAAGCTCTTGTTTGTGTTCCTGCCTTGGTTTCTCTTAATGTATTGCTACCTTGATGTGTAAGACAAATAAATTTTTTCCTCTCCTAATTTGCTTTTGGTCAAAATATATTATCTACAGCAACATACAAGAAATTTCAACATCTACAAAAATATTAATATTATTTATTTTAGTTAGAAAGGAGAGTCAACTAAGATGTTCATCAACTGATTAATGAATAAGCAAAACATGGTAAAAATTATTATGTAATGAAGAGCAGTGACTTAGAGATACATGTCACAGCATGATCAAACTTGAGAACATGATAAGAAGCCAAAGGCCAACATTATATGATTCTTTTTATGCAAAATGCCCAGAATAAATAAATATATAAAGAATAGAAAATAGAGGTTACCTAAGGATAGTGTTGAGTGAGGCATAGTGTATACCAATTAATGCATTTGGGTTTCTCTGGTGATGAAAAGATCATAATAATATGTAATAAACACATACATGTTATTATATAATGTTGATGGTTGCACAACTCTGTACCTATTCCTAAGACCATTGAATGTATATTCGAGAGTAAATTCCATGATAGGATTCCATCCCGCCCTAGTCAGAATTTCTACTATAAAAACAGCAACAAATGATGTCAAAGATTTAGGGATAAATAAATCTCTATATGTTCTTCATAAGTATGTAAACTAGTTCAGACAATATGGAAAACAGCATGGATGGTTCTCATAAGAGATACCTACATACCCATGTTTTACTTGACAGTAGTCACAAGAGCTAATTTGTGAAGTCATTAGGTACCTTAGCAGGTGAATAGATTTCAAAAAATGTGTATTCCTCATGGACTGTTATTCAGCCATGAATAAAAATGGAATGCTTTTCATTAAAAAAAGAATGGAACTAGAGGTTATCATATTAAGCAGAATAAGTTATACTCAAAGAAAAATGTCACATATTTTATCTCGTGGAAACAACAATAAGAATAATGATGACAAGGACAATTGAAAATAGTAGAGGGATTACTAAGGAAAGGCTAGAGACTGAGGGAAGAATGGAGAAGAGTCAGGGTAACAGAAAGCAGCTGGAGTCAGATATGGTGGTACAAACCCATGATGCCAGCACTCAGGCAACCAAGTTGGAGAATCAAATGTTTAACACCAGCTTAGGTTACTTGACAAAACTGTCTCAGAATATAAGTGAACAACAATACAAGGGTTGTTTGGAGGGTGGTTATGATCAAGCATGACATGTATGCATAGAAATTTCAAAGTGATGAAATTAACATGTACAATAAATGTACATTAAAAAATATTTAAAAGAGAAAGCCTCATAATAGCTATCAAATTATTTTTGTATTCTTTCTTTATTAAACACAATCTCTTATAGTATTTACATTAGCTTTTAGTTTTTGACAATTTCATAATTTTATACAGTGTACTGTGATCATATTCCTCCCCAGTACCATCTCTTATCCCCGTTCCACTCCTGCTGACCTGTTTTCCCAGCTAGTCCAGTATCACTGTCCTATTTTCATGTCCTCTTTTTTTGTATACAAGTTGT